ATTTTATTCGTATCCAAACTGTAATCTTCATATTCAATAAACACCCCTTTTTGGGACTTTGTTCCAAGAGGTTTGTCCCTTATACAATCGTCTGATCCTTTTTTAATTGTTAGCGAGCGAAAACGCGCGAAACAGATGTCATTTGCAGTAAACTAGTTAAATTCATGCTGTAATGTGCTTTTTTCTATGGTAATGTACATCAGTTTTTAATTTGTAACAAACTATTGAGGTGGTACACATGTTAAATGCATCATATTGCTTGTGCTTTCAAAAAAAAAAACAAATAATCTCGTTATGTTATTGTTAATTAGTATTGGAAAGACCAATAGCAAAGAATTGAAGCTTTACTGTGCTTTCTTAATGGAATGAATTGAAACTTTTTTGATGTCATTTGCAACAAACTAGTTAAATTCTTGCTGTAATGTGCTTTTATCCTGTTGTAATGTACATCAGTTTTTAATTTCAACAAACTATTGAGGAATGCATCAGTTTGCATCAGATTGCTTGTGCTTTTTACTCAACCAATAAAACATAGATAATCTCGTTATGTTATTGTTAATTACTCGACCAAATCCCCACTGCAGTAGCAAAGACCAGTTTCAACCGTACACTCTCATCTCCTTCTCCACTTCTAACCTCTGAATATAGAACAAAAGTTACCACTATTTTGCATAACCCCAAACTCCTCTGTCATTACAACAAAAGTCACCATTATTTCTTCTTCATTTCATATGCTCCAGATTGCACCAGCAATCATCTCATTAACTAGCAATTGTCATGTACAAAACACAATAAAAGATTAATATTTAAAACTAAATCCTTAAACATATCAAGGATTAAATTCCGTAGCATTCATTCATATATTCAAATACACAGAGAACACACTCCACCAATTTTCCTACTACAACACAGGGGAAAACGTTACAATGGTGGCTCCAATCTGAAATCAATTCTCCTACTACAAAGATGGAGACCCGATTCCACATCCTCGTTCCATGGGATGATACTGAAACTTGCAAGGACCAGAAGCTTTCCTCCTAAGCTGATTAGTTGTAATTTGCTTGCCAGTGGGCAGAGGTTAGGTGACTTTCATTAGAATCCTCTCTGTCACAACTATGCGCTGAGTCCACAACTATGCAATCTTCCCAGCAACAACACCATTCTCACTACCCTGTACTCGAGCAGTAATACCCCGTTTACTTTCTGCCTGCTAGACCAACCCAGGTCTATAATATGCCTGTGCAACAACAACCAAATTATAATGAATCGACACCAGCTTTAGCTACTTGCAATCCTCAAACACCTTCTGCAGCCTACAATTACGCAAGGAACATTCCTGCCTCAAAATCTGAAATGGCTGCAGGCATTTACCGAATAGCAGCTTCACAATTTCTCCAGGTTCCTTCCGGCCAGCACCAAACACAATATGTCGCCTTCACTCAAATTCATCATCCATCTCAGTCAATGGCTTTCCCTTCAGCTGCCAATTTCATATTTGGAAGAACATCATGAAGATGAAGAGAAAATGAGGGCTCGTCTGTAGAGAGAGAAATTTCAATTTAGGGAAAAAAACGTGTCCAGTAAAGCAATGAAATGTCATGGGCTTTTTGGAATGTTTTGCACTAGGCTTCAATCTCAATTCCGTTATGTGCCACGTAGGATTTCCATCCGCCGTGTAGGACATTCCGTTAGTTACATTTGACGGATTTAAGACAGGTGATGAACAGGTAATATATTAGATAGATGGGTGAGCAACGGGTAATGTTTTATTGTTTAGTGAGCAAGTAGTAATATATATGAAAGATGGGTGAGCATTTATTAAATTAACTCTAATTTAATTCCAATAATTTTAAATTATGGTCAACATAAGTAATTTGTTTATTTATACCCTCACCAATGATTTAAAAATTACATGTATAATTACAATCTTGTGCTTCAATTTGAAATCTAAGCACCGTTTGAGATTTAGAAAAAAAAATTCTTGCATGTGTGATTTCACGTCATCCTTGTTAAGACTTCTATAAATTATTAAGTTCAAGATCACAGAGTTCAGCATATGCTTGAAAAAGTATTTCTAGGTGATTATAAATATCATAGTCAAAAAAATACTTTTAACAAATTATTCATACATTTCGTAGAATGCACAAGTATTATTCATTTTTTCAACATTTATTTTATTACTGATTATAAACATCTTACCAAACATATTCTTATAGGAGAATTGCAATTACAATACCAAATATTTCATTTAATAGCAGACTTGACTCAAATCTTTAATTTGTATCACTCAAAGTGCCAAACCTTTAAAAAATGAGTAGGTGAAGTCCAAACTTATGGAAACCATCGATGAGGCCTTTAGTTGACCCTAGAAATGAAAAACTTTTAATTTTGACCAAATAAAATAAGAGCATTTTAATCAAAACACATTTTCCTTTTTAAAAATCAAATAAAAATGATCTCCACCCTCCCAACACCCATATTTCTATAAATTACTAGTGTACGCACGTGCGATGCACGTGCTACAGTTTAGTTGGGTATTTAATAGCGTGGAGTGATTTTAGTTCTATAAAATTCACCGGCACAAAACGTTGTTTTCTATTAATAAAGGCATTTCAAAAGACAGAATAAAAATTGAAAAACTAACCTTGAGTTTGTCCTTGTTGGAAAGGAAACCATCTTCAGGCACTCAAACATTTTTGAAGTGTGTCAACTCAAGATTCAAACGGCAAAAAGGGGAAGAGAGAGAGGGATTGAATCCAAATATTCACCGGTAGCGAGTTTTTAAATTTGAGATTAATCAATTTCAAAAACAACAAAACTTCTCTAATTTTAATATTAGGATTACATTCCATTTTCAAGTCTTCAGTTTGATTCTAGTGCTTAAGTACAAAATAAAAATGTCATCAAGTTTTCTCTTTCAGTCAAAAGAACATCGATGCAAATTCATCCAAACCATTTTAATCTATTCTAATGCAATCCATAATATTGGTTTCTGAACATTTCAACTATACAATATTTTTCCAAATGTAGAAAGCAACAGTATCATAATGAAAGAAGCTTTACAAACAGCACATTAATACAGCAGGCAGTTTACTTATGAAGTTGCAACAAATTAAAACAGCAAAAAACCATCTCAAGGATATCGTTCAAGATCTGAAAAAGGCATAAATTGTTCAAGATCTCAGCGCCAATGCTGAATATAACAATTAAATACGTGAAAGGATCAGAAAAAGAAGGTACTAACTAATAGTTTAATTATGAAGAAAAATTTCAGACTAAAGAACCTGTTGATGGTGATATTAACTGCCCTTCCGTCAACCTCATAAGCTAGGATGTCAGACATTATCTCTGTAGTGGCGCAACCAAGTTTCTATTTTAAAACTTTCAAATTACAGTTGAGTCCCACCGAGGAATTCACACTTCCCAGGCAAAAGAAAAGGAACTTTGAAAATTTGAAAATAAACCCTTTACCTGACAGAATCTATAGAAATCCTCAAGGTATGCTTTATAGAGAGTATTCCTCATAATTTCAATATTAATATCATCCAAGTCCTGTAAGAATGTCCTTGTGAGGGAAAAGCAGACATACAGACAGAATCCAGCATTAACTGAAAATCGTCAGCATACCAATCATTGTTCCAGCTTGATCTTACTAAGAAGCACAACCTATAGTTATTATCGCATGAAATGAAAGTTCCCCTATCTTCTAGTACCATTTTCCCCTTCGTTCGATAATAAGAATCTCTTGGTCCCATTTTAATCAAATAATACAAAATTTAACAGATTCAGTTACAGTAACTGGGAGTCAATAGCATGAAGAACAATTAACGAGATTGACTTTCTCCACATTTTCGATATATTTCACTTCAGAGAATAAAGCTTTGACATCTATAAATTGGCATGGCATATATTCCTAAAAATATAAGCCTATTAGTAGTTGAGCTTCATGTTGAGAAGATCGTAATAGTTGAACTTTGATGATACAAATGGGACATAGTACAGGTAAATTTAGTAGCTACAAACGAAACGTTTCTCAACTACCACACAGCAAAATTATGTGCTGCACATTTGAATTGTTGTACCTTGACTCATTCCATATCTGTTGAAGATACAAAAACAAGTATTCATGTTCATGTATGCCTCTGATGCAGACAAAGTTATAAACATAAAACTTACTCATTTCTCTACGTCAGTTTTGCACCGCCATATTTTTGCTTGATTTTTCTGTTTCTTTTATTAAGTGAACTCAAATAATAATTGCATATTTTATTAAGTGAAGTTGTCAATGGTATCAGTTTGACATAGCCAGAAGCTTCAAGACTATTATTAATTAACAAAAACATGATTTATGTTTTGTTGCTAAATCACCCCAATGCTTTGTCTTATCAACTGGTTCCTCCTGAAAATCAGCTCAATATGATGAAGTTGGATAAGTTAAATCTTAAGCACAAAAGCAGACACATGAATTGGAATATCATCAGGGGGAGAAAAAAAAAATCATTTACGAAATTTTCATGAGGGACTGGTTTTCACCTCATAATTAGGCTGGTCTTGTTGCAAAACGCTAAAAACATCTCCATACAAGGGACTTTCATACTGGTGGAAGTGAAAATAAGAGAATAGTAAGAAAAAAATACAAAAAAAAAGGAAGAGTGCAAATAAACATGGGAAGAAAGGTTAGGTAAACTGGATTGCAAAGGTCCGGTTCCTTATAAACTCCCAAACCAAGCTCAATTATAGCACTTTATAGAAAGAAAAATAAAGAATAGAAAGAAAATAAAGAATGGAAAGAAAATAAAACTAATATGACAGTAATCAGTAATTAATTTAAGTGTACTTTAAAAAAAAATTAAGGCTGTAATTTTTAACAAGCTCAAAAAATGCAAAATGTAATTAATTTTTTGTCGTGAAACTTCAAGTTATTACCTTGTGTTTATTGTAGGTCATCACTCTCCTAATCACTCTAATAATTATTCTTATGGCAATACATGGTAAATGACTAAATAGACAAATCTCTTAGATACTCCAAGCACAATTTTCCTTTTTTCTCTATCAAGCATTTCAATATATTCTTTATACAAGAAGACTTTGTTGGTGCAAGACCTCCACATCTTATGGCATCCTCAATGCACCTGGACTCGGCTGCTAGAACCTAAGAAATTTATACAACCGCGCACCCAGTACAATGTCAAGAGGAGTTCAAAATACAATTCATTCCAACTTTTAAATGCAAGAAAAAGTAAATGAAGTGACAAATTAACCGATTCTAAAAATATATGCATGATCATTCCAATACTTCAAAAATCAGTCCAAGCCTAAATTGAATGTTCATACAAAATGAAATCAAACACTCACCACACTTGTCAAGGAACCCCACAATCTTGAAATGGACCGCAGTGGCATCAATCCCAAGAAGCTGGCCTATTAGTAATGAGAGTGAGTTAAGCAAAGAAGTCCGAATTAAGAAACTTATGATATCTTGTATCATTTACATGGGAAACATGGAATTACTTTAACATCAGGGTGGAACTCCAATTCAACTCCTTTTTCCCTTGCCTCTTCAATCTGACGCTCAAATATTAGAGAAGATGCAACAATCAATAAGAATATACATATAGACAATAAGCATGTATTGGTAAATAAGATATATTTCTGACAGTTATTGATAATATGATAGGTTCAAACAAAAGTTCCAATTCAACAATGCAGCAAATGAAACTGAAATGAGACTAAATATAATGTAAGATGCTAAGGCAAAGCTTCAGAAGGAACTTCAAGATTACAACAGAAAATATGCCAGGCCTCCAGGTATAAAGAACACTAATTTATCTGGCTGAACTTTCTAGGAACAATCACAGCAGCGATTTCCAGTATGCCTAACTGGACTATAATCAGACGGAATAGAAAATAATTAGAAGATAGATATAGTTCTCAAGCGAAAAGATATCAACAGTGGAAAATTGGTCAAATATACTAAGCGGATATTCTCCAGTAGAGGGCAAAGAGAAGTGACCTTGGTAGTTAATCGAGTATGTTTTATGCTCAAAAATCCTAAGTTTTCACTTACTTTTGGTTATAAAACATGCATAAACCAAACACACAGGTGAATCACAATTATAATTTGGAACAATTTAAAGTCGTTAGTAAATGAAAATGAAAACGTAAACTTCAGCTGGAAAGGTAGGTACAGAACATTTAGGATAACCAATTTTACAAAATTCTATTTGTTCTGGAAAGAATAATAAATTAGGCAAGATATGGAGAAATGGGTATAAGATGTTCTACTCCCACTCATCTTATAGACATATTACTTGCAGGAAAAAGATAACAGAAGACTTGTTAAAACTTCCAATAGACATCTTCTTTTCTCTTTCTTTACTCTGCACACCGACTTAATACGTCAATGGACTCAAAGCTAAACAAACATGTCAGAGCTTTTATCCATTTCATTGTGGTTGTACAAAAAGCAATCCAAATAGAGTCCAGATCCCATCAACTATGAACTAAATTCGTGTGTGAAGGCATCTATACAATCCATGACCGTGTGTTATTAGCGAAAATTCATAAAAATGAATCCCATGAACCTGTCCAACGGGGTTCACTGATCACAAGGATATAAGGCACAAGAATTAATAAAGATAATATGCGAAAATAGCGTATTCCTTGGGATCACATTTTCTTCTACAGAACACAAAATGGTCACAAGAAAAGCATTGCATCCCATATCGAGCAATATGCACAAAAACCTACCTTCTTATCTTCATATATATGGCGTGCATGGAGAGCACCAAGCATAAGTATAGTTGCCAGAGTTGCCCCAGGCACCAAGAAAGAATTCCCTGCAGAGAAATCAACAGCAAGCTTCACTACTGGATCCTTTGCTTTTCAAAAAATTTCTACATTGGTAAAGTAATAACAGTAATGCAGGCAACCCCTTAACACTTGACACGCATTATTTGATTTATTTTCTTGTCTCCCCTTCATCCTACATACTCAATATTAAATAGAGATTCTAATTTGCAATAAACCGTGCCAAAATTAAGCAAAAGATTATCAAATTGCAACAGATTAGTCAAATATTTCAGCAATGCCTAATTATTTTGAGCATACCAGGTTGAAGTTAACAGTGTGGAAGGAACCTCAATTTCCTGCATTTTGGCTGCTAGTGATAAACAAGTCACGGCTAAAAACTGAAATCCCCATATATTACTTCAATGTGAACACCAAGAAAGTAGTGACAAATCAATAATGGAGACAATAAGAATTTAATCACTGTGAAACAAAATGGTGTTGTAATCGAAAACTCACAGACAGGTCATACACAGATTGAAATTGGTCAAAGTAATTCATAGCCAAACATAAACACAGTACACCAAATTTGTAGTGAGTATGAGCATGCAAAGATCAATTAACACAACTTGTTAATCAAAAATAAATAAAAATCTTTTGGGATGCATTTGCAATTACAAATAGAGAAACAGAGAGTTGAACATAATGTTCAACATCAATCAAGACAATTAAATTGCCCAAGAAAACATTGAATGAATGAATTATCATAAAATGCAGCAACTCCAGTGAGCACCTTAATTTCGACCCGTCTGTAAATAACCCATAAAATTCACACACATACCCACAATATATACATATAAAGATAGATACACAAATATATATATACACGCACGTACACGCGAGTCACTTGGTTCTCTTGGTTGCAGGTAACGTGAAACCAGGTGCAAGGATTAACAAGATTCTGATCCCAGCTCCGGGTCAGTCCTACAACGAAATAACCCACCCACGTCACGAAAAAGCCGATAATAATAGAAATCGCACCCCTAAACTGGAAAAATTATACCAACCTTGAGAGTTAGTTGGACAGCGCGCAGAGACACGAGTCGTGTCTTACAGAGACACGGTCGGTGTCTCTGGGAGACACGAAGGCACCGCCTCTCGCTTCGTTGCCGGAAAAATTAGGACCTCGCCTTTCACGCAGCGGTAAGGTTGGGGATGGATGAATGTAGTCTGCTGGGGGCAGTTTTCGGTGCCTGTGGCTTTGCGGTGGGGGCGGTTTCCGATGGATGATGGATGGAGGAGAAGCTGAAGCTCATCGACGGTTTCATTGCTGGATTGAGAAGGAAGATCGAGAGGAAATTGGGGGATTGAAAACGGGCAAAATGAGAAGAAATGGGGCAATTGATTTTTTTTTTTGTAGGGATTCATGCCAAAACGACGTCGTTTCATCGGACGAAAATGTGAACAGTATTTTCAAAAGTGGCTCTTTTATTGTATAGGGATAAAGTTAAGTTCGGGATCACAGAGTTCAGCATATGCATGGGAAGGAATTTCTAGGTGATTATAAATATCATAGTCAAAAAAATACTTTTAGCAAATTATTCATACATTTCGCAGGATCCATAAGTATGACTCATTTTCACTACTTATTTTATTACTGATTATAAACATCTTACCAAACATATTATTATAGGAGAATTGCAGCAAAAGTAACAAATATTTCATTTAATCGTAGACTTGACTCAAACCTTTCATTTGTGTCACTCCAAGTGCCAAGCCTTTGAAAAATGAGTAGGTGAAGTCCAAACTTACGAAAACCGTCAATGAGGCCTTCAGTTGACCCTAGAAATGAAAAACTTATAATTTTGACCAAATAAAATAAGAGCATTTTAGTCAAAACACATTTTTTTTAAAAAAAAATCAAAAAACTAAAATCAAATAAAAATTATCTCCACCCTCCTAACACCCCCACCCGCCCTACCATACCCTACCCTACCTTACCCTACCCGAAAACTGAGTTTAGAGCCTCACCCACTACCTCCACCACCACCAACCACAATATTTTGATTCGAGTACCTTTGTAATTTTTTCCGATTGTTCACTAAATTTTGAAAAACGTCGTTGATTGCTCATTGAACTTTAAGTTGGTCAAATTTTGACCACTACACTTATAAAAATAATGTCAGTATGTTGTTAGTTAAAAAATATGTACCGCAAGTGCACGAAGTGCATAAAAGCAACAAAGTGGACAAACGAGTATAAATTATTGATTCCACGAGAAATGATTACTCAATTACACCATAGTTAAATTTAATTTCAAGTTATTTTTATCATTTGTTAAATTCAAATTTATTGTCGGTTTTGTTGTTAAAAATAAATTAAAATAAAATTGGAATACACAATAAATTTAATTAAATTGATTGTGTGTTTCATTACAAAATTTAAATTTTAATTAAATTTATTGTGTGTTTCATTGTAAAAGTTATTTAATTAAATTTATTGTAAATTTTGTTTCAAAAATTCAAATTTTAATTAAATTTATTGTATGTTTCGTTTCAAAATCCATTTAATTAAATTTATTGTGTGTTTCGCTACTAAATCTAAATCTTAATTTAATTTAATTTGAACAACGAAACGCACAATAAATTTGAATTTTTCAAATGGTGAAAATAACTTAAAATTCTACGTAAATATGTTAAAATTAAATTTAACTATCTTGTAATTAAATAATCATTTATAGTGGAATCGACAACTCGAACTCGTTTGTCTACTTTATTACTTTTACACGACCTGTACTTGTGATACACATTTTGCAATGAACAACATGCCGACGTCATTTATATAAATTTAGTGGCCAAAATTCAACCACCTCAAAATTTAGTGAGCAATACGTTTTTCAAAATTTAATGAGGAATCAAAAACATTCTTTAAAATTTATTAAGCAATCAAAGACGTGACAAATGTTAATAGCATGACGTGACGTCACGCGTACATTCCTTTAATCACTTCACTAATTCCGTTAAATGTTTGAAAATGCTGTTATGCTAGTGAGTAACGTCCAAAGTTTAGATAAATTTAGTGACCAGAACTTGACTCTAATGAGCAATCGAAAATAAAGATATAAGTTCGGTGATCATTACAACAATTAACTCCAAGAATAAATATGTTTGTACAAGGAGCCAACTTGGTCTCCCCAACCTATCACAGGGGGGGCAGTTGGTCCCCTGACATTCATAGGCTATGATAATGTAGCATGTTTCAACCTTCAATACGTAGAAACTAAAGCAGTGGACAAAAAAATTGTTGTAGAATCTATTACTTTCGAAGACATATATATTTTGAACTCTCGTTTGCCAATTCACTCGATTTGCTTGTGCTAAAAACTAAAGTATGAATCTCGCGAGCCGCACGACGAACTCGTATGGAATTTTATAGATATATAGACACACACAGATGAATGTGGATTTCTAACGTTAAAAGTGACGATGGCTATGGCGAAAGATCAAAGAGACAGAGATGGTGCCGACTGCCGACAATTTGTGAGTAGAATAAGTAATTGGTGTTCACTTGCTAACTTTTGGTTTTCGCTAGAAACAAAGATGACAAGGGCGGGGGCAAAATTTTAGATCTAAGGGGTTACTCCTGTCACTTTCATGCATGTATGTGATATGCGCATTCAGACACATCATAGACACCAAGATCATCATTTAAGTAAAATGATCGACAATTGTTGGCACATTGATGATGAAGTAGTGAAAATAAAAGATAAAAAAATAATAAATATTTTTGGAGAATAATAAAATTACGTATTAAATATAAAGAGATTGTCGGAGTAATTAAATTTTTTTTTACTTTTAAAATTGTAAAATATTCTCTTTAAAAATGGAGAATGACACGAAGATGAAAACATGAGGACAAAAGACATCCTTAAAATCTCCAAATTACCCTCAAATTTCCCACTAAACCTTGAATATGCAGGGACCATTAAATAATTTTAATATTACAGTGTCGATTGCGGGCTTAGATTCGGATAGCCCGTTTAAAGAAAAGCCATTTCCGGGTGCCTTTTTATTTATTGCGTAGCCTTCTCTTTCTTCCACACCTTTGGCGGGTACCTTACAAACTGACGAATCACTAGAGAGAGAAAGTTGCATGTGTGTGTATGTATGTATGTATGCATAGAGACTTGGTGTAAATTTGTTGTATGTATAGACAGAGTCACAGAGAGAGATAGTTGTGTGCAAAAAGTAAAGTAAAATACCAGGCCGTACGAACACTATACATACACACACACTTGCTCGCTCGCTCGCTCACACTGTACAAAAGTACTCATCAATCGCACTGTAGAAAAATCTCTCACGGACAACTCGAAAAACCCTTCTCTACGTAGGAGTTATTTATTACAAGATCATCGGGGTTTTATTTTTTTTGTGTCATCTAAGGAAAAAATAATATTTTATTATATGAGGATTAATTATTGTACCTTTTAGCGTTTGATTCTGTCAAGTGATTCAGAGTTAAGTGAAAGTGGGAATGGAGTTGTACGGAAGGAGAAGCGGGTCAGAATCGGGTCAGCAGCAGGTGGAATGGGCTCCGGCAGGGCAAGAACCCGGTTTGGAAGGTGAGGATTTTGAGCTATTTTGGTTCTTTGCTGGTTTTTTACGTGCATTGTGATATGTTAGGGTTTTCAGTAATGAGAATGATTGGTTTCTGAAAAAGGGATTTTTGGTTTTGATTGTTTAGAATCGATGCGAAGGTTGAATTTGTGGGAAAGTGTAGTGTACCCGGAGAGGCCAGGTGCGGCAGATTGTGGGTACTATATGAGAACCGGGTCCTGTGCATATGGCACAAAGTGTCGGTATAATCATCCCCGTGATCGTGGAAGCTCGGTATGTGCTTGATCGTGTTCCTTATATACTAATCTGTTGGTTTTTTTGGCTGTATTTGTCATTGAAAATATGTAGTTTTTGTAGCCATTCTAGTCAATTTGGGGTTTCTGTATTACACTCTTTCGTAAGGGTATTTTAGTTATTCTTTATGTCGATTTGATGAGCGGATTTCTTTGTTAAGCATTTATATAATGTATATTTGACTTAAAGTTGTAGGTGGTCGTATTATTTTCTGAGTTCTTTGGTTGGTTGTTCATCAGATTGGGGGTGTGATGAGAGAGCATCCAGAGCGGGTAGGGGAGCCTTCATGTCAGGTACCCAGCTTTACCTTTTCTGGCGACTGGTTGTATTTCACACGTTGTGTTGGATTGACAATCTCAGAATCATTATTATTTATCTGAAGCAATGCTCGATCTTTTATCTAATGAGTGAAATGTCAATGCTTAATGTGCAGTATTATTTAAGGACAGGGGCCTGTAAATTTGGTCCATCCTGCAAGTTCAATCACCCGAAAAATGCTGGTGGATCCTTGATCAATGTGCCTCTAAATATTTATGGATATCCATTACGACCGGTAATTATAGTGTCAAGGCATAATATATGCACATTGATTCAAGTTATAAAGAATTTTAATTGTCATGTTATCATCTTTTACAACAGGGTCAGCAAGAATGCTCCTACTATTTACAAAAGGGGCAATGCAAATTTGGTAGAACATGTAAATTTGATCATCCTCAACCAGTTGGTTTATCAGTGCCAGCACCTGCACGTTCATTTTATCCAACAGTGCAGTCTCTTTCTGCTCCTTCTGAGCAATATGACAGCACATCGAGCACTTATAGAGTTGGAAGGCCTCCTTTATTGCCTGGTTCATATGTGCCCGGTGCTTATGCTCCCATGTTGCTTCACCCAGGAGTGGTTCCGATGCCAAACTGGAATCCGTACTCAGTAGGCCATTCTTGAAGTATTTTTAGTCGATAAATTATCTTCGTACCCACACATAATTCCCTCATATTTTGTTGTTGGTTTACTTATGCAGGGACCAGTTAGCCCAGCACCATCACCTGGTGCTCAACCCTCAGTTGGAGGAGCTTCCGTGTATGGAATGTCACAGCTAGCGTCTTCTGCACCTGCCTTTACGGGAGGTTATGCCCAGTCACCCTCTTCTGCCTCCCCTTTGAGCGCCGGTGTAACATCGCAACACCAATTACCAGAAAGACATGGTGAGCCTGACTGCAAATACTACATGAGAACTGGGGGTTGTAAATATGGATCATCTTGTAGGTATAACCATCCACCAAACTGGGTTGATACAAACACAAATTGTGCGCTTAGCCCCTTGGGCCTACCTCTGCGTCAGGTAGTATAGTCATTTCTTTTCAAAAGCTTCATCTCGTTTTATCCTGCATAGGTGAGCTATTTTTTTCATTTTTCTTTTCCACTATCTATTTATTGACTTTTTTTGCCCTTTCGTCTCTTTCCCAGTAAGTGTGCATTATTTTGGTTCAGAAATTCCATTTCAGGTGTACTTGTGATAGATTTTCTTGCGTTCTTCTCATGGTGACTAGTATCATGTGCATGTGGCTTATTTATCTTGGCAATTATATTATCACTTCTAAGTGCAAACCACATTATGTTTTTCAGTTGATAATGATGGATCTACACGTTCTCTTTAATGCAATTTTGCATTATATTTAACTTGTGAAAGTTAGAATTTTCTGGTAATGGGGATGCTTAGAACCAAATGTTCAATTTTAAGCATGTACAATATTTTTGTGGTTGTCTCGAAATCATATCAATTTTAATCCTGGTCTCAATGAAATTTTAAGAAGGGAAAGAAGATCGTTACTTCATTTCTATGTGGTTCTCAAGATTACAAACTACTGTCAATTCTCTTATAGTGGAAACTATTTTACTCTGTTTACTTGTTGAACTTTTCCTCCCCTTTTTCTTTTCAATTCTCTCGGGTACTTAGCACCAGTGATCTGTTTTTTTACGCCCCCCCCCATCTCTCTTTCTCAGCTCAACTCACCCTCTCATATGATTTTATTTCTAATTATTTCAGTTAGATGTTTCGCTTGTGAATAAAGAAGTTCCTAAAGTTTTTTTTTTTTTTTTTGGTTTGGGGCTGCACTCCTACATATAGCCCTTGTTTGGGCTCCATTAAAAATGCATTTTGGGAGAAAATGCATTTTTGAATAGTGATATTTTGGAGAATGCGTGGTTAAAAAATGAGGAAATGTTTTGGGTTTACGTGTAATATTATTTTATTGAAGAATGTGGTTGAAAATAAGAAAGAGAAAAATGTATTTTTGGAGTATGGAGGCCAAACATGGGCATAATGAACAAAATATTTTTAATTAATGTGCAGTGTTGTCCTGTACCATTTTGTAACTTACGTTTGTCCGTTCTAACAACTTTGGTGGGGTGATGGTTGGGCATTGATACTTCTATTTACCGTGTAACAAAATTGGCATCGCAATGAGATTTAACAAAAGAATATGATTTTCAAGATTTCTGTTCCTTCAATTTTCCGAGATTATTAGCTACTGCTTGTAACTATCAATGGATTATGACAGATTTTGAGAGATAAAAACCTGATTTCACGTTTATATCTGTGCTTATTTGTTTGAGAATCTTTGTTTAGGTTGTTTATTGTTAGTTAGCTACTTAGTTGACTAGCTTGTTCATCCATTTTTGATTCATTATATCATTCTTTTTTTCGTTTATGTGATGCCTCTACTCCTTTAGTTCTTCTTAGTTTTGTTTATACGAGGATTCCAATTCTAGTTTCTTACACTTGATATTCTTAAGACTTTTTTATACAAGGATTATAGTCTTTAGTTTTTTATGCTCTTGCTTTGGAGGCATGTGTCACCAACTTCAAAGAATAAAAAGAGACAAATCATGAAACAGTACATGCATGTGGTAGTGGATAAAGGCCGTACTATATATTGTGGGTGTTAACATCAAGAAAATGGTGTCAGATGAGTTAAATTATTCAGATGTACAAAGTTAAAAGTGCTTTTTTTTTACAGTACTAGTGTCACACGAACGTATATAATTTATTATTATTTTTTATTTAAAGAAGTTTACTTGTAAAAGAAAATTCAATCTCTATTATTAACAAATGATGTTCGTCTAGAGGTAAAGCCTAACTTTCACTTCTAACATGTAGTTTCTCTATTATTAGTAAGTGGTAGGGAGCTAATGCCAATCCGCGATCACTTGAACATGAATTTTCGTTAAACCGATAAAGAAAAATTTCAATTGTTTCTCAATAACTCTTTTTATTCGAGAAGTCAAAAGAAGCCAAACATTGGTTAAGGAACCATCAGAAAGCTTGAGCTAATAGTCCTGTTTGCCTTGTACAGTTGGGTTGCAAAACTGGAGCCATCTTTACTCTTTTTAACTTAAAATTACAGGTAATATTTTAGAGTAAAAGAGTTAACATGAATTGAGGTAGGGCCAGAGCGACTTCGATCTTCAGCAAATGAAAATAATCGAGATTGCATCTCTGTGTGCTTTATTCTTTATTGCCCAGTGTTAGCGTATGCATTCAATGCATACTTGTATTTCTGAATGACTGCCTGAATGTATTATGTTTGTGAAGTTGCCTTTTAGCACACCTTATGAACTAGACGGGTCAATGCGATCTTTTTTCTGACTCAATTTTCTCCCATTTTTATTTTGACGAACAGGGGATGCAGGCCTGCTCTTTTTATTTGCAGAAAGGACACTGCAAATTCGGGCGTACTTGCAAATTTGATCATCCAATGGGAACTGGAATTAATCCAGCTTCATCGTACGCAGAAATGCCAGTTATTTCTTAAATGCTCTATCTTCTGCTACAACACATGTACCAACTTATTCATTTCAGGTGATGCAGGCTGAATATGTTGTAGGGTCGGAACTGGATCTTGGTATAATCAGGATGATGTAGCCTTCTGGAAACAAGTCCAGTGGTTATGTTCGCCAGATGTTTTCAAACTGTTAAATGAGATTTATCCTTCGAGTACATATAGAAGCACAGGAAAGGATAGGGAAATTCGTCATTCAATATAATACGTCTTTCACCCTCTTATTTCAAGTTTCATCTCCAACATGTGTAGTCCGACTCTTCTGTCGACTATTATTTAGTTTATGTTTCCGTATGGTTGATTAAAGTTCATCAAATCTGTATGATATATGTAATTCAACACATTGTTATCGAAGATGTTGATCTTTTGCTCCATGTTATGTATCTTGAACATGAAATTGAAATGGCATAATCGTTTTGATTTTTGAAGTTAACCTTCAACTTGTTAAAATGTATTTGCTCGCTGGAGGTTTGGTCATCTGTGGTGGCCTTCTCCTGAACTGAAGATGGTGAGGTGAACAAACTGGTTTTGCTTTTCTTTATTTCATGTTGACAAGTATGTGGTTTGATTTCATGCAAATTTATCTAAAGTGGCCCTTCTTACAATCGTTATGGTTGCTCCCACGAGCATCCCTGGGTTTAAGAGCATAAACTTTGAAGTGAGGTGGTTCAATAAACTATACAAGAGTAAATCAGAAACTGTACTTTTAGGCATAATTTATTTATACACATGTATAATAACATAAATAGCATTTTAAGTACAGTATCAGTATGGTTCTTTGAAAAAAACGACATATACAATGCAACAAACTGAAAAAATAACAACTAAAATATCAAAAGTTAAAGCAGACTTTGCCTGATCGCTTAACTCCATATTTCTTCCACCCAAACGATCCACCATGTCTGGTACAGATTCCCAATTCTCTACATCTTGCATGTAGGGATCTTCAAGCTTCATCCTCATTTTCTGGGCTTCTCGACTCGCCGCTTCTTGAGCTAGTGACCAGTCATAGAACTTACGTTTCTCGTCATTGCTTAGAACGTCGTAAACTTTTCGTAATTTCATGAACTTTTCTGATGCAGTATTCAGAGGAAGTTCTGTTGTGTCTGGATGGTATTCCTTTGATAGCCTTCGGTAAGCAGCTTTTATTTCTTCCAAATCTGCATTTGCAGCTACTCCTAAGAACCTGCAATATTGATACCAAAATTTTCTAATTAAAATGGTATTGCTCAAGACCTCAATGTTGAATGAATGAAACGCCATTGTGCACATTAAATCCTATTTTTAATTTGATGGAATTACTCTATCTCTTTTACTGTTTTCTCTCAATAATCTTTAGTCTTACTTAAGATATGCTCTACACCAAAATTATTCATTCTTAGATGTCAACTCAAGATTGGCCTTATGAAAACCTTATATTTTTGTGGATATGAACCACCGAAGGTACTTGAGAAACAACAATAGCAACTGCTAATTCATCTGCAAGTATGCATTTTCATTTGATCTTCCTTGTGGAGAGAGAGTGAGTTTATGGCCTAGTAAAGGATTGTCATCTTCAAAACCTATTGGAAGGGCCGTGCATATCTAACTACTAACTTCGGTACACATCAATTGTTATCTACTTTTGATCAAGGGTAAAAGAATGGAACCTACGGTTGCATTATTTCCTTCATACCGGACTGATCTTCTGCCCAAGACATCGTGCCCACCGGTAAGGTGGCAAGATGTGGTCTTGCCACCTCACTACCTTACGAGATCAGTCCTGTTCGTTCATAGGTTCACTGCTGATTCTAACATCAGTTATTGTTCAGCTTTTGATGCACAACTCAAATAGGAACACCTAAGGCATTCCACTTATTGGACTGTCTTGAATGATGATTTTAAATTAATATCAACTCCTCGAGGAACTTTCCAATCCCTTTATGATATATTTGATACGAACATGATTATTATAAATTTCATCAAACGTCTCGACTAAGTCCATTGGACCTAACATAACATACATCCATCCCCTGAATCCAGAAAATAGAAAAATCTGTTTTTTCTATTTGCAGGAACATGAACAGCCATCCAGCCAGCAATCTAAGTAATATGAAATTTTACAAATAAATCAAATTCATAATCAAACAATAATAATAACGACAACTGAAACATACCCAATTCAAACCAAGAAATCATAGATAATCATCATAATCAAGACTCACTGGTAATGAGAATCAGATGAACTGTTGAGTAAATCCGAGAATTTTTCTCTCAGAAGATTCTCTTCATCTTTGAACTGCTGTGTCGTCGACTGCGAATCACTTTCCCCTAACCAACCCTCATTCTCATTCTCCCAATGAATTCTTGTATCAACTCCCGGAGGGGCCTTTTGCCGGCTGTTTGAACCTTGCACGGCATAAACCCTGAAATTTCCATGCCTATTTCTTCTTATTCTCACACAATTTTGTGCTTCGAATTCTCGAATTCTGCTTTCGCCTCTCAGCCCGAAAGAGAATGCAGCCGCCGCAGCTGCTGCTAGTGAAGCCATTGGAGAAGAAATATAGTAAAAAGACGATTTTGAATTTCAGAATTGGGTGTAGGGGTAGTTCACTGCCACGTGTTCCTGTGGCTGAGAATCAATAACGAAAATTTTTGGTGCTCTTATCATTTATATTTTTTCTGGTTTTTAAAATTTTGTAATGAATTCTTTTGTGAACCAATTATCTAGTTTTATGTTCAATTAATGATATCATTTTACTATTTTGGTCACAGAAAAGAAAATATTTAATACAATCATAGTTATTAAATTCGAAACTCAACAGAGCTAATTTGAACTAAACATTAGCAATACAAACGTCAAAGTGATCATGTTAGCTTCACTAGATTAACCTATAAATGAGTCGATTAGGAACCGTCTCCACTTCTTGATATTGTGTTACACTCTAGATGAATAATTTTTTTTTTCTTTTTATTACGCTTAAACAAAATTTCTATTTGCAAGGTTGTCCACCTAAACAAAATGAAGTTCTAAATGCTATAACGAAACTTTATAAGAATGTATCTCGAGAAATCTATGAGGAGACTCCTAAGAGGAAGTTTCATATTTTTCTACCCAAAAAAAACTATCCATGTTGGACTCAATACTATTTTTCAAAATTACTGTCAAAGACGACTCTACGAATAACCACCTACTAAGAAGATACTTTCCGAATCATTTTTCAAATTCTAGAGCTCATTATCTTCTCACGAATTAGTGAATAAGGCAGGATGTTTTTGTGCTGAATAACAAACAGCGGGTCAATGTTCATAAATTTCATTGTAAACATGAAAAATGCACAAAATAAATGTGCGAACGAATAAAAATACTTGCTGGGCTAGTCAAGCATGAGCTAGTTCATAGAAGAGTTTACTAGAAGGGAATTGTGAGGGTTGTGATGCCAGTCCAACCCAATAAGGCGATGACGAAACATGGTCTTCGACCCAATTGCTATTGCCCAATAATCAACTAAAGTAACCCAGTGAAGCCGATGCCCAAAAGTCAGTCTAGTGAAATCGTGTTTGGTAAATACGACTTTGGTTGTTTTGCCTTATAACTAAAAGTGGTAGTTTCTCTAGACCGTTAGATCATCTGCTGCACATCTCGATATATTTCTTTAGGGTAAATTGAAAAGGCAGAATTACGGCATGATATTTTTTGGCTTCTGTTCTTCGAGGGTTCTCTACAGTCTTCTATGTTCTCTTTCATCTTCTCATTCTAATTTTGAGTCACTCTTTAATTTGATTTAAGAGTGGTATTTCTTTGTGAAATCCGGTGAAATGATATACTGTGTTGAAGGTAACGGTGAGCTCACGTTCCTGTGATTGTGAGTATTTTTGGGTGAATGATTTTACGGTGTTGATACATGATTGTAAAATATTCTGAGCCTTCTATCAATGATATCTTGATGTCCAGTGGTTTTGACATGAACATCTGTAATAGGTTGAGTTGATCTGTAATTTTTGTACTTTGATTTGTATAACAGGAATCATAAGCAAGCCTGGTGTACTTCGCAAAACAAGAATTGCAAAAAAGCATGAGATGTTCCAATGAGATAATCGAGGCCTACCTTCTAAAAGTTGTTGGTTTTATAGAATGATTGAATCCAGTTAGAGGCAGGAATTCTCCTCCTTTCCCTACTTCAACCTTTTCCACGACCAACACCCTCCATCACTGGCAGACCCAGGGCTCGGGGATCCTGGGGGGCACAACTTTTGAGAATTTTTTTAAAATCATGTTTGGTTTCGATTGAAATTTAAATTTTAATCTGAATCAAAGTTAACAATTAATTTTAATAACATAGTTCATGGAATCAATATCTGTATAACTTTTATCAAAATTCACTAAAAATTTGATTCTAGTCTCCACCAAATATGGGTAAAATCACAATAAATTTGAATTTCGATAACATTCTAATTTTAAAAATTCTCCGACGATCGTACGCTAATCGAATTTACAAATTGTTTATGTTATCTCAAAACTTATTTCGAGAACTACATTATTGACATATCGAGTAGTCCAAACAGATAT